CCTGAACCTGTTCAGCCTCCACAAGAGAAGGCCGAGGGGGGATCTAGGGGCCTGTTACAAACTAGTCAGAGGGGACCAGCAGGCACTGGGGGAGTCCCTGTTCCCCCGAGCACTGCCAGGAGTGACCAGGAATAATGGTCACAAGCTGACAGAGGGGAGATTCAGACTAAATATCAGGAGGCGCGACTTCACCCTCAGGGCGGCTAGGGTCTGGGACCAACTTCTAAGAGAAGTGGTGCTGGCTCCTACCCTGGGGGGCTTTAAGACAAGGCTTGACGATCACCTTGCTGGGGTCGTTTAACCCCAGTACTCTTTCCTGCCATGGCCGGGGGGTCGGACTCGATGATCTGCTCAGGTCCCTTCTGACCTGACCAGCTATGAAACTATGAAACTGATCCTGCCTGGAGCAGGGGGTGAACCAGATGCGACCACCCCAGGGCCCTGCCTGCCCTGCTGGTCAGTGATTCTCTGATCCCAAATGGACGGCGCTGCTCCCACCTCCAGCTATGCTGCCTTTCCAGCTGCTTGAACCTCATCTGTATCCCCGTTTCGAATTCCAGGTCAGTCAAGGCGATGTGGCAGCATCAAGCCAGCATACTGGTAAATACAAGGCTCCACACACGCAGAACACAAAGCGCAAGCCCTGCCAACGAAGCACAGTCGGGATGCACCGGCACTCGCCGTGGCTAGCCCCAGAGACCCCAAAAGCACAAGTCAGACCCTAGAAATCCTGATTTGTTCTGCTGTAGAAGTGTTGGGCTGTTTTATTGGCCTTTGGCATCTGGAGCCTATGAGCTGCCCTGGACTCAGTCACACTTTCTTCTACAGCTCAGAGCCAGGCGCTGATCCCCCAAGTTAATTCTCCCATACCCGGGGAGGGGCTGAAGACACCTGGGCTTAAGGCTGCTGAGCTTTTCTGTTCACTGAGCTCCTCACCTCAGCCAGGGACACACTGCTCAGCACATCGCGGTTGTCAGTGTGGTTCAGTCCCATCCCCAGGGCTCTGTAGGGCAGGCGTATCTCCCCGCTGCGCTCCAAAAGGCCCTATGCCGTAGTATCACCCCCATACCACAGCTGGGCAGCTCCAGGTATTTTATGGCTCCCTTCCCACGCTCTCCCCCCAGGCCTACCGCACAGAGTTCATTGCCAAATGGAAGAAACTCCAGCTGGATGTGGTGCTGTGTCCGGTCCTGGGTCCAGCCTTCACCCTTGGCTATCCAGGGAAGCTCCTGGGTAAGGGGGCAAACGGTGTTTCTAGGATGTGGGAGTCATCCTGCCAAAGAGGGCTGTTGGCTGCCAGTGCGATGGCCACCTCCAGGTCTAGTGGGTAGGACCCCAGGCAAGGGGATAGGAAGCCAGAGGCCTGGTCCTGATTCAGCTATTAACCTTGTGTATGAATCTGGACGTACCACTTGGCATCAGGTGCCCTCGCAACCTCATCTCTCTGCCCTGTAAGGTCCTTGGGGCAGAGACTAGATGTGGCCTATACACACCACCCTATGCCTTGAGTAGCAAAACTACTGCTTCTTAATAACGTAGCTGTTTCACCCGGCGCTGACACCGCGCTGCTTTGTGCAGCACAGCAGAGAAGTTGAACATTCACTGCAAAAAGGAAAAGGAAGTTCTCCCGCGCACTTCAGAGGTATTAGGCAGATATAATGCTTCATTTGACACAGGAAGAAACCTAGGCACAAAAGTTAAATGCTTTGCCCAGGGCCTTTGAGGGAGTCAGTGTCAGAGGTGGGATTAGCACCCATGAATTCCCATCCAGTCTGCAGGACATGAGCATGCTCTCTACCCATACGGCTGAAGGCACTTTTTGCTGACACCATCATGTTGCACGCGTGCTGTGCTTGCAGGGTTCATAGTGACCGTCCGTGACTTGCTTGGGGAGGGGTTGAGCTACGGCAGGTTTCCCACTAGGGTAACACATGGCATGTGTTTGAAGGAGATGTATTCAGCAGCCTTTGTGCACTGTTGGGGTCTAAACCCCTGCACTGCCTTGCTGGCCTTCCTGCGACTGATCTTCTGCACACTGCTCCTCCCAGCGGCTGTTTCCTCCACCATGTTGTACAACGTCTTAGACTTCCCCGCTGGGGTTGTGCCGGTCACCACAGTTACGGAGGCTGATGAAGAAGAGCTGCTACATTACAGAGGGCACTACGATGATGCATGGGACAGGAGGCTGAGAAAGGTCAGCCAGCAAGCGGGGTGTGGGGTGGGGGCTGAGGACACACGAGGGTCCACTCCTGCAGCTGAAGAACTTATTAGATGGGAAGTGCCTGATCTGCAGAGTCCCCTGGATAACATCACACGGCTCCTGTCTCCACTGCAGGCTGTGGAAGGAGCCGTGGGGCTGCCCGTGGCTGTGCAGTGCGTGGCCCTGCCGTGGCAAGAGGAGCTGTGCCTTCGCTTCATGAAGGAGGTGGAGACGCTGGCCTGTGAGAGGAAGAAATGCATGTGACTCCTGGGGGTCTGCGACTGTAAGAAAGCCAGCTGGGTTCCTCAATGGTCAATAAAAGAATTAGAAAGCATACCCGCCTTTTTTTGCCTTCACGGGAGCATTCAGATTGTTCCAACACCTTCACATGCATCTCTGTTGCGACTGTCCATGTGGAGTAAAAGTGAATGAGTCAATGGAGCCCAGCCAATAACACATCTGGAATAGTCCCAGCAAAAACCAAGTAAGCAAAAATAATCCATTCCCCTAGCAGGTCCGCACCAGCACAAACTCTTTGCACCAAAATCTAGAGATCAGTCAGTCTAAAAGACCACCTGCATGAGATAAAGGAAGCAGCCAATTCCTCTGAACACTGTTTAAAGGCTTGAGCATGAGCCAAGCCCAGAAAGATGGATGTGGGGAGGTGTTTGTTCGCATGTGCAAGGTTACATCCAAGAAGATGAAAGCAGAGAGACAGGAAATGCTTTCATCCAAGCTCAGATCATCCTCTGAACAGCTGGAAAACCAGGTTCCTTAGTGAGAAGAGAGACAAGAGGAAAGGTGACAGCAATAAGCTGCTTCAAAACCCTGTAATTGACAGGCAGCTCTCCTGAAGGATCCAGCTGGCAGGGCACTGAGCTGGGACTCAGGAGACCTTGGTTCTATCCCCAGCTCCTCCGGTGACCTGCTGTGTGAGCCGAGGCACGTCACTTGTGTATGCTCTGTGACTCAGGTTTCCTCCCTGTAAAAACAGGGCTGAGGATGTAGCCCTTGTCTGTGAGACCCTTGGGGATTTCTGGCTAAGCAGTGCCTGGTAAGAGTTGAGCATTGTTAGCACTCAGCAAATCCTCTGAAGAATCTGAATGGGCAGGAGGCTGGACCCGATGATCTTGTGAGGTCCCTTCCAGCCGTAACGTCTATGAATTCAGAGCATTTGGAGAGACCAAACTACTGGTTTCCTACTCAGAAGTACTAGTCCCCACTCTCTTTCTTCAGTCATAGCTGCTTTTTAAATTAGCAGGAGGTTGAGGAAAGAGAAGGAGTTACAAACTGTAGCGAGATACGAAAGTCCAGTGCCCAGAAAGAGGCACAACACATTTCTCAAAGATTACATCTGCATCATTTATTCTCAGTGATCGGAGTCGAGTGGCCGACTTCCTTCAGGGGGTTACAGAGCAGTTCCTCTTTCCTTGGAAACTTTAGGTATTGCATTAGTGCCTGTAAAACAGCAAGATCATCTCTACTCAGATGTCACTAGGTAAACCAATGCCCCGATCTTAACTCCCCCTGGGAGGAGCTGTCATGCTCACTGGACCCGGCATAATTTGCAGAAGTACATGGGCCCAAAGTTGGCCGTGAGGTGAGGAAGGACAAGCTCCCCAACCCTGCATTCAGCATAGAAAGAAAATGTGTCCTGGAAAAGTCTCCGGAAACAGCTCAAGTCTTCGACGTGGACGCCAATGCCGAACTGGGTTTCTGCCACGTTGATGGCGCTCTCGACGACGTACTCGTTCTGCAGCTGAGAAAGGGAGCACGTGGAGTACACGACTTCCCCTCCTGGCTTGACAGCAAGGATTCCAGCACTAGACACGAGAAGAGCAAGAACAGGGTGACTGGATGTAAAGGACTGAGCCCTCACTGTGACTGCATGTGCACGGGACACGAACATGCAGCTAACAAGGGTTCCCAACATGAACAGGAAGGGCTGCAGGCTAGATGGTCCTGCCAGCACTGCAGCTGCAGGAGAATTTAACACTGCAGTGTTACTAGTGCTTCACCAGATGAGAAACTGGAGCAGGACACTTTATTCTACTAGCCTAGTTTAGATCTTGCATCACCAATGTACTCCAGGCACGTGGGACAGGCCAAGAGTATGTACAGAGGAAGACAGTTATGTGGGTAAGACCGTAGGCTGGGAATCCAAATTTTGGCTTTGCTATCTGTCACAGGCTCCAGGTGTGGCCCAGACAATTCATATAGGCCCCAGTTTCGCATCTGAAAAAAGGAGGTAATAATATTCCTGCTCCCACCAAGGGGTTGCCCTGCAGTTACAGGAAATTGTGTGAATTCTCTGAACAAGGTATAATTTGAGTAATGGTTCGTCCAGGCTATGAACAGACGTTGTGTTTGTCCCTGGACAAGCTATGCCTGTGTTTGTCCCAGAACAAAAATATTGCAGGATTGGTCTGTACACACATCGCCCTTCTAAATAGGGTTTAGTGAGCAACTGAATGCACTGCTGCTTTTCTACCATTGATTCAATAATGCAATCCTGGGATAACTGTACAGACAACTTTGCAATACCCCAGGATACTGTTACTGCCTCTTATGAGGTAAACTTCCTTAGGACTTTGCAATATCCCAACACAAGAAACATAGATGTCTGTATAATTGCACTTTGTCCCAAGATAGAATGAATTTATCCCAGGATAAATGTGATGTCTGTTTGCAGAACCAGACACAATCCCATGCACTAAGGACCTGGGGGTTACAATGGAAAGTGAGATGAACATGAATCAATGATGTGCCCTTGCTGCCAAGAAAGATAACGGCATCCTGGGCTGCACTGGTAGGAGCGTTGCCAGCAGATCGAGGGAAGTGATTATTCCCCTCTGCTCAGCAGGCCACATCTGGAGTCCTGTGTTGAGTTTTGGGCTGCGCGCTACAGAAAGGACATGGAAAGGGGAGTCCAGTGGAGGGCAACAAAAATGGTTGGGGGGCTAGGGTACATGACTTGTGAGGAGAAGCTGAGGGAACTGGGTTTGTTCAGTCTGGTGAAGAGAAGACTGAGAGGGAATTTAATAACACCTTCCACTACCTGCAGGGGGTTGCAAAGAGGATGGAGCTGGACTGTTCTCAGTGGGGGCAGACGACAGGACAAGGAGCAATGGGCTCAAGTTGCAGCAAGAGAAGTTGAGGTTGGATATTAGGAAAAACTGTCTCATGAGAAGGATAGTGAAGCACTGGAACAGGTTACTCAGAGAGGTTGTGGACTCTCCATCCTTGGAGGTTTTTAAGGCCCAGGTAGGCAAAGCCTTGGCTGGGATGAGCTAGTGGGGCTGGTCCCACTTAGAGCAGGGGGCTGGACTAGATGTGACCCCTGAGCTCCCTTCCAGCCTTCAATGTCTAGGATTCAAAGAAACACCTCGTCCTGATGAGCTCGGAGGTCCCTTTCATAAACCAGAAGCACCGACTGATCACATGAATCGTGCGGAAGGTCACTCACACCAACAACTGCATCTGCAGCACCGGCAACTGCTTACGCTCCTTCGTCCTCACCCGGGTGAACAGGTTGTTGTCGTCCTCCATGACCGAGTGCCTGTCCGTTGTGCAGGGAACATCCACAAGCACCTGCATGACCGAGAACTGGGAACTTAGATCAATTCTCCACCCCATTAAGGCTTGGAGAGTTGCAGTCCTTTCCCCACTTCCTCCACTTCCCCTCTCCCCACACATTTCTTCTGCTATTCCACTCTTTAAGCAGTGTCCTTGGCCACAGCCTTAGAGGGCAGGTACACACACACTCTGCACTGTTACTGATGGGTTGCTCGTGATGGCTGGGAACCCTATGGAAAAGAATTTCAAGTTTTGGGTAACTTCATACATTCCCCTTTATCTTCATGCATTCCCCTTCATCTCTAAGGCCAAGATTATACTGACAGCACTTCACTGGTACAAAGTACCAGCAAAGGGCTCGCATGTAGTTCTAGATATGCTTTTAAAAAAGCATATTGGCCCCACATAGTGGAACCACCTCCCAATGAGCAAAACAAACTGTGGGAACAAAACCAGACTTATAAAACCGACTACAGTTGGCAGTACAGATGCAGGCTAAAAGAAGAGAGTAAACCTCGGGCTTCAGGGCATTGCCTTCAGTACGTGATCAGTTAGAGAGAAAATCCCCTTCCCCTGCCATGCAGAAGCCTGTACAGCTGGATAAATGGCTGCCTCTCTCTGAAGCATCCTGTATTTTCCCTCTACCAAAGGCAAAAAATTAAATCAGATAGTTACACCATTTTGGCCGCATTTCCAGTCACTCACCCTATCGAACGTGTCTTTCTCGACTTGCTCCCAGTCCCTTCCATCCCACACGCTGACTAACACATTGTTCCTAACTGTCCTGGGGAGGTAACTGTGGAGAATCTGATGCAGCCGTTTAATTCGGGAAGCAGAGATGTCGTTGGCTGTCAGGTGCCCTGTGGTGAGGAATAGCACATCACACAGACACTGAGAAAGACAAAATGTAAAGTCAGCTCCATAGCCCTAAGAGAGGGGTGTCTACGATATGGAGTTCAGCCCACAAGGTCAAATGAGATCAATATCCTTGCCCCAGGAAATTAACGACAAATGGGTATTTTCCTAGTGTGGCCTTCTGCTTGGCCCATCAAGAGGAAGGCTTGTGTCAATACATCTGAGTGACCTCCATTTAGCTACCACTTCAGAGCTAGGATAGCTAGAGAGAATCATCAGATAAACATCTTAAGTTGCAGCAAGGGAAGTTGAGGTTAGATAGCAGGAAAAACTTGCTCACTAGGAGGGTAGCGTAAAGCACTGGAACAGGTTACCCAAAGAGGTGGTGGGGTCTCCATCCTTGGAGGCGTTTAAGACCCGGGTAGACAAAGTCTTGGCTGGGACGATCTAGTTGAGGATGGTCCAGCTCTGAGCAGGGGGTTGGACTAGATGTGACCTCCTGAGCTCCCTTCCAGCCTCCATTTTCTACGATCCTACAACTAAGATAATCCTAGCTGTTTCCCAAAGCACCAGTTGTAGACAGAAAAGGAAAGCCAGGGGATACTTACTGCAGCATCCGGTTTGTAAAAGAGCCAGGGTCTTGCCACCTGGTGCTGCACACAGGTCAAGGACAAGGTGCCCAGGCTGTACGTTGAGAGCCAGGACAGGCAAGAGAGATGCTGCATCCATCAGATAGTAGCCAAGGGTCCCCACAGTGTCCGGTCTAGAGATTGCAAGACAGTGAGGGGAAGGGAAAAACCCAAGCTGAGGCAAAGCATGCCGATTTAAAAGCAGCTAATACTAACACACGTTCACGGCACCCTGCCCACACTAATTACACCTGTCCTACACTTTGGATAAAAGACAGTCTGGAGGAATACAACGGTATTTCACACTGGGTCAAAAAGTGCAGGGAGTTTTCATTTTAGACTTTGGACTAGTCTAATTTTGTGAAGCCTTGGTTCTGTCTGGTGAGAGACAGCAAATAATAAATCCCTATTAGCTTTCTCTTTGCCATTCAGTATTGTGTAAACCCTTCTCAAGCCCCCCCCACAACATCTTTTTCTAACTTGACCAATCAGGTAACAATCAAGCTCATTTCCCAGTCAAAGAACGATTCCTTAAATACCATTTCCCTGACTCCAGGCCCGTCCGCTTGTAAATAGCTCAATGCAGTCTAGACTAAAATGCTGCCCTCTTGCTCCCCTCTCCCTAGACTAATAACATATCTACAATGCGTCCCACAAGACAGCGGCACAAAAATCAACCACCAAGCCATTAAAGCAACCCACAAAAACAAATTTCCAACACAGCTGAGCAAATCCACTGTATGCCATGGCCGGTCCGGGGCCAGGAGGGGAAGTGCGACTTCAGATTCTCCTCTTAAATAGTCCTAGTTGCTACTCGAACGCAAAGACCGAACCTCCGCATTCAAGAAAAGAGAACTGAAGCAACCGCGTGTGTTCGGCGCGAAACCCCTCTCTTTGCAATCGGAGTCACAGCACCAGGAGAGCGCCGTTGTGCCCACCTGGCGGGAGAAAAGCGGCTGATATCTCCTTTGGAGAAGGTGTAACACTTGATGTTGGGGCTCACGGATGCAGACGGCAAGGCGGGCGCTTCCATCGGCTCGCTTGGGGGTGCCGGCCCCTCGCCCCCTGCTTGCTCGGCGGGGGAATCCAGCCACCCATTTTGCGCTGCATAAATAAAGTCCGTGGCGCACAGACCCTCCAGGTCCCGGACAACCCTGTCAACTTGGGAGAAGTTGTTGATGAGGGCGCCGTATTTCCGCTCCGAGAGCAGGCTGACGCGGATCGAGGGCCAAAGGGGGCCGAATTGCATGCTGTAGTTCATGTCAAAGATCTGCAGAGCCTGCTGGGTGGCCGGGATGCGGGGCAGCGTGGTCGCCTGCGGAGCAAAGCAAAGAGCAGGCGTGAGAAAGCCCCAGCCAGCCCCACCGGTGCCCGCTCCCTTGTGCAAAGATGCTGGCGGCCCGGGGAAGCCTTTAGGCGAGGGACCGGGCCTGGCGGAAGCCGGGCAGCGCGGCTGCGGCGGTCCCCGGATGCAAGCAACGGGTGTCTCCCCGTCCCCCCGCACTCACCCACTTCTCCTTGTAGCGGTAGCGGCGGGGGGCGCTGCCCAGGCCCGGCTGGGCC